CGCCGTGTCCCGCAGGCCCCCGGGCGGCGCGCTGCCCGCCGAGGCGCTGTTCCCGCGGGCGCTGGCGGAGCGCTACGCGCCGCGCGCCCTGGAGCCCGGCATGCCCGTCATCGTCAACACGTGCAGCCTGCAGGAGGGTGACGGCGGGCGCCCGGCGCCCGGCGCCTTCCGCTACAGCGACGACGAGGACTCCGAGGGCGAGGACAAGAGCGACGGGGAGCTCGTGGTGCTCACGGATTGAGCGCGGGCCGGCGGGGAGCGGAGGGCGCTCCCGCTGGGGCTCGGCTCCACGCAGCCAGGAGATGCCCCTGCTCCGCATGCGCCTTTTGCAACGGGGAAGAGCAACAACCGCCGCGCACCGCGGCCGGCACCGGTCGCCATCCCGCGGGGACCCAGCAGGGATGCTCCGAGCCGTCCCTGTGGCTTTTCCTGCTCATCCGGCAGAGCAAATCCCCACGGAGCTTGTTTTAGCTCTCGGCTTTCTTAAGCACAAGCCGAGGGCTCATGGGGGCCTCGCTGCTTCCTGCAACTCGTGCCCGGCCTGTAAATAAAGCGCACGGCCCCGGCGCTGCAAAGACTGCAGAGGAAGAGCGAAACGGCAGCGATTCGCCAAGCAAACCAAAAAAGCACGGAAATTCTGCAAAAGCGGCTCGCAAGCGCCCCGCCGGGGCGGCGCGGGGCCCGTGCACCGCCTGGCGGCACCAGCGCGGGGAGCGCGCGGCCCTCGGGAACGGAGCGGGCGAAAGAGGAAAATCCAGGGAGGAAGATCCCCACGGAAGCCCGAGCACCAGCTCCCGGCGCGTGGCCTCGTCCCCTTCCAGCGCTTTATTTATTCCCCATCCCGCGCTGCTCTCGCCGGGCCGGGTCCCCAGGAGCCACTGGGGACCCCCTGCCTACCACGTGGTTCTATTTCTTCCTTTTTTTTTTTTTTTTTAAGAGACTGTAAATATAGATAGAGCTTTATTTTGTTAATAAGACGACGAGTAACTTAACCTGTGTTTTTCACACACTTGTTTACAACCGTCTCCCCTCCCGCCCCCTTGGCACAATAAAAATGACTTTTTGGAGCAGAGACCTGGGCTCGGAGGCGGCTGCCCGGGGTGTCCCAGCCACGGGGCTCCTCCTGGGCCCCTTTTTAGCTCCTTCTGCCCAGTCGGGGTCTAGGGGGTCCCCTCTGCTTTTCCCCTCCTTGCCCGTTACAACCCTATTCCCATCCCTCCTTTTTTTGGTGCTGGTCCCGCATGCGGGGGACGGAGACACGGGACAGACCTCAGCTCCGCTGTCTTTGGGACAAGGACAACAGGGCACGAATCCCACCCACTTTGTCCAATTCCCCCTTTTCCAGGCTGCTCCCTGGTGCCCGCTGCAGGGGGTACGAGGGGACGGGGGCAGCCCACGGTGCCAGGCAGGGGGTCCTGGGGGTGCAGCCCCTCTGCTCCCACATCCCTGACTCACCCTCTCCTTTCCAGCTCCCTTTGTGGCCCCAAACCAGCCCCTTTTTGCAGCAGAAGCTGCAGCTCATCCGGGGCAGGTTTCTGCACCCCCCACCCAAGCCTTTCCCTGCTCCTGGGTACCAAAGGGCTGAGCACCAGGTGTCACGAGCGGGGCAGTGCTCAGCAGCGCCCTGGGCAAGGGGTAGAGCCGCTGCCCGCAGCCCCGGCCAGGCTGTGCCCGTGCCGAGGGTGGCTTTGTCCTCCTGTCCTGTCCTAAAGGAGCGCGGAAGCTCCGCATCCCGGAACGAGGACGGAGCCTGGGATGCTGCCGACAGAGCCCTGAGCGGGGAGGACGGCAGCAAAAGGGGATGGGGAAGCAGCCGGGCGTGGGGCTGGGGGGCAGCGGGTGCCAGCGCTGCCCGCGGTCTCCGTGGCCTCAGCAGACGGGGCGCGCGGGCGCAGCGAGGGCAGCGCCTGGGAACACTGTAAAGGGGCCAGGAGGGAGCCGAGGCAGCAGCGAGGGGCACGGAGGGGCGGCGAAGGCGATGTGGGCACGGGCACCCCGGGCAGAGCTGTCGGGCAGCAGGGACGCCTGCGTGCCCACCTGGGGCACAGCGCGGAGGGAGCAAGCCGGGCGCCAGGCAAGCGCCAGCCCCGGCCTTAAGGCGCTGGTAAAGGCTTGCTGGTGGAGGCCGGGGCCTCGCCAGGGGCCTCCTGAGCGTCTCACGGTGCAGCCTCAGCGTGTCCAGGGTCTCCTTTAATCGGTGGCCGGGGCAGAGATCCTCTTCCCGCTTCCCACCCCCGGGAATTCTGCCCTCGGCGCCAGCTGGCAAGGGCGGGAGGGCGGCGAGGGCTGGGACGCAGCGAGGACAAAATAGCGGAGGGCCTGGCGGGCCGGAGGCGCTATTTGGAAAGCTGCAGCGCTGTGACGACCGGCTTCATCTTGAAGTACTGTTTAAATCTGAGCTTTGCATATCTGCCGAGAGAGACGAGGTGCGTGAGGCGCAGAGTGCCCCAGGGGCACCCCGGGCACCCACTCGCTCCAGCTGCTTCCCGCCCGCCGGCGCTGGGAGCCGCCGCTTTGCCGGGATCTCCCGGTGCGGAGCGACCCGGGGTGGCACTGGAGATGGCACCGCCTTGCTGCGTACTGAGGCCGGGGACACGCTGCTGCCCGAGGCCGAGCCCGCGGCTCACTCACCTTAGGAAGTTAAAGTCTATGGTAGAGTATTTCGCTTGGAGGAGGCCCCAGCACGCCCAGAGGAAGTGGGAGGCCTGCAAAGGAGCGAGCCGGCTCAGAACCCGGCACGAGGTGCCCTCACCCGGCGCGAGGCCGCTCGCCGCCCTCCCGGCCACGTCCTGGGTCCCAGCCCGACCCCGGCTTTCCCAAGAGGATTTTCCTTCTGTCCGGCTGCACGCGGTGCCTTTGGCTCCCTGCGCCCAAGGCCGCGGCCATCGGGGACACGCCGTCCGCTGGCGCACAGGGCGCGTGGCTGGAGGCCAGGGCCGCCCTTGACCTCGTCCCGGCGCTCGGCGGCCCCCGTGCAAAGCCAGGCTCAGCGGAGCGGCCTCCCGCACGGCCGGACACGGCCCCAAGGCGGGGAATCGCAGTCCCCCCGGACCCCCATCGAGTCCCTGCCCCGCGCGTTCCTTGCAAGGAAGGCCACCTCCTCCTCCTCGCGAGCGCCACCCTCCCGCCGTCCCCCTCGGCCACTCACTAAGGAAAACTTGTTCACTTGCACGTAGAGGGCCTCGAGCTCCTTCTCCGACACCGGCGCCCCGCGGCCTCCCTGCTCCTGCTGCGTGAGCTGCTTGTAGGCCTGCAGGTAGGAGCGCAGCCACTGCAGCTGGGTGTCCTTGCCGGGGTACAGGCGGTAATCGACCTCCTTGACGCCTGCGGAGAGCTCCGGGTCAGCCGCGCACGCGAGGAAGAGGAGGAGAGCACGGGGACGGGGTCCGCGGGGCCACGTCGCCCACGGGGGGCAACCACCAACGCAAGGAAAGGGCCTCCCGCGCTCATCCCGGCGCGGCCCTGGGAGGAGCCGCCTCCGTTTCCTATGGGATCACGGAGGACTTAGCCACATCCTTCCTTGCCGGAGGACCCGGAGAGCAGCTGCCGGCTGCGGGGTGGCCCCGGGTGGCCCAACTCACCCGCGAACTCGTTGAAGTGGTTCCCGATGTCGAAAGCCTGGTAGTTGTAGCCGGTGTACTCGTAGTCTATGAAGCGCACGTGCTCTGCGGGGACCAGAGAGGTGTCACGAGCACTGGGGACCAAAAGCCACCCACCACAACACGGCCGCAAGGACAGAGCCTTTTAGGCCGTGGGGACCTAAAGCCACCAACCTTCGGTGCCGTTGTAGATGATGTTCTTGCAGAGCAGGTCGTTGTGGCAAAGCACCACGGGAGAGCCCAGCTGCGAGAGGGTTTCCTTCATCCAGGCCAGCTCCTGCTCAAGCACTTCCAGGCTGGGCACGTCCGGATGGAGGCTGGGCAAGGAGAGCGGGGGGTGGCATCACCGCTGCCCACAAGAGACCCCTTGGAGGGGGCAGAGGGAAGAGTTGCCCCCCTGTCCCCCTCCATGTATTTTATATATGTCGAGGAGCACAAGGCAGCTCTACCGAAGCTGGTGGTGGTGGGGACACCCGCACGGGGTGCCTGCGATTCCTCGGATGCTCCATGCAGCATCCCTGGCCCCGGCACAGGGCATCCCCATCCCGGCCCTCCGGCTCGCTGGCCCCACACCCATCCCTGAGCTCCAGAGCTTGGCACAAGGAGCCTCCCACCCCGCCCTAGGGCACGGGGGCGTTTTTTGGACCCGCCACGGGTACACGCTTAACAGAATCCAGCGTTTCACTTCCAGGAACAGCTCCCGTTAATGATTTCCCGGCCGTCGGGACGCAAGGGGTGGGTGCGGGCGAAGCCCGGGCACTGCCCCCCGCGCCGAGCGGCCCCGGCACCCGCGTTAATCATTTGCTCGCCCCCCAAGCGCCTGCCCCTCCGTGTCAGGCCACTCACCTGACACGAACCCGGGCGAGCTCCTCGGCCGCCCCAAAAGGGAGCTAATTTGCTGGGAACGAGGCCGGATAGCTCCGATCCATAGGGGATTTCTAGCGTCCCCTCCATGCTGCTGGTGTCCCCATGCTGCATGTCCTCCATGCTGCTAGTGACCATTCCCAGTGTCCCCTCCTGCTCCACGCGAGCAGGGCTGGGCTTCACCCCATCCTATCCACAACTACAAATGCAGCCCTCGAGTCCCTGCCTGCAGGGGCTCATCCACATATTCCCTCACCAACGAAGCCCAATCCAAAGGTCCCAGCACGGAGACATTCCCCAAACCTGCTGCTAGCAAATCCCGGACTCCTGCAAAGCTTTACCTGGGAAAGCGGGGCTGCCTCCCCCGAGCCCGCACGAGCAAGACTTAAGAGAGACGGGTGGGCAGCAGATGCCCAAGCCAGAGGCTGCCTCTTTGGGATCCCTCCGCCTTTACCTGGGGTCGGATACCTTTGGGCTGAGGTCCATCTTCACGAGGGCGAGGTATTTGTGCAGCTTCTGCCACAGGATGGGCTTGGGGATGCTGCCGTTGGCGTGGATGGCGTGTAGCCGGGCCATCTCCTGGGCCACCAGCCTGCAGGGAGCCGCGCAGAGCGGGTTAGAGCCCAAGGCAGCCCCCCATCATGCAAAATTCAGCCTCTCCCCAAAAGCAGCGTGGAAAAAAGTCAGTGTCCGGACAGATAAAACTCCTCTCCGCAGCATTTTTAGCTGGGGGTCTTGGGAAAACCTTAAGATACTGCCTAGGTCAACAGCAGCATTCCCCTTTCTGGGGTAAATTCGGAGAAAAGACGGGAGTCTCGTGCAGTCCCCTCATGCACAAAAACACAGCAAAAAACCTGCTGCTTCCCCAGCATCACCAGGGAATTTGGCCTGTGGATCCCCCACCCGGCTTAAAGAATGCAAGGAATTCCGCAAAAGTGATATAAATAAAACAGTGGGAAAGTAGATAAAAGCGCCCAGGTGGCCCCCAGCCTCGCACCTGAATATGCGGGGATCCCGCACGTGGTCCGGCCCCAGGGCGATGCCCGGCAGGAACTCGTAGCACAGCCCGTTCTGGAAGGCACAGTAGAGATCGGGGGCGCAGCCGTGCGCCTGCAGCACCTGGAAGTTCTTCAGCTCCGTCTCGCGGTCCACGAAGAGCTCCGTTTTGCGGCCGTAGACGCGCACCAGCACCGCGTCGGCCATGCCCTCGTCCGTGTAGCAGGCCACCAGCTTGTTGGTGATGCCGTCGGTGAAAAGCTGCAAGGGGACAGGAGCGCGGGCGAGCTGGGGATGGCTTCGCCGCTGGCACACGGTGGCAATGGGCAGCGTTGGGAATAACCCGGGTCCTCAGCCCCGTTTCTGCCCATGCAGGTGGGTGCGATGGGAGAAGCCAGAGCCAGCACCAGGGTGCAGCACCCGCAACTGGGAGAAACTGCAGCAGGTGCAATGACTTTGGGAGGCTGGAGGTTCTCCTGCATGCCAAGGCTCTGCAGATGGCTGGGATGGAAATTCCGTGCCGGTTTTCACCCGGGAGCTGCGGAATAGCTGGAGGTGCCGCAGCATCCGAGGCGCCCCGGGAAGCGGCCCCAAAAATCCAGCGCAAACCCGGACATTTGGCGCCAAACAAGCGGTCGCAAACAAGGCTGAGTAAACGGCATACCAATGTCGAGGGAGGCTCAGCCGGAGGCACCGGGAGGCAGCGATGTCGCTGCTGGGGACGCCTCTGGTCACGGCTCCGCCGGCTCCTCGCGGATGGAAAGCGCGTTTTGTTCCCGTGCCGCCCGGCTTTGGCTGCCTGCCCGCGCGCACGGAGCCCCCGCGGTGGCCGGAGCCGCTCCGAGCCTCGCAGGAGCCTCTGCTGCTCCCACTGCCACGTTGGGTTCCCTGGGATGCAGCGCGGGCGGGCGGGATGGGAGCGACGGCTCCAGGATGGGAGCGACAGCTCCAGGATGGGAGCAGCAGTGCTCGGCACGGGACGGGACAGGGGCCGTCTAATTTTAGACCTCTCGCTCGGCAACGCGCTCCTATACGGGCTGCCTATATATAGGGCTCCCTATGCAGCCGCTGGAGGGAATCGCAGAGCGCTGGAATTAGATGCCTAAAGTTAGCGGCACAGATGCCCCTGGCTGCACAGCTGCAAGCGGCCCCCCGGCCCGCGCCAGGCTGCACCTGCAAGCAGCAGCTTTCGAGCTGCTTCCCGGGCCAAAGAATTCGTGTTTCTGCCACTTTGCTGCCTCTTTTCCTCGTCCAAAAGTCCACAAGTTCAGGCAAAAGCTGCCCTGGCCCTTGAGCCTGTGCAAGCAGCGCATGGGGATGGCTCCATGCAGAGACACTCGGTTCTTCTGTTTCATTTTGTTTTACTGCTCAACAACCCAATGAGCACTCTCCAGAGGGTTTAATGGGATTACAGAGCCCCTTCCCCACTGAACCCCCCCGCCAGGAATTTGGGAGCCTGGCGCGTCATTAGTTGGTGCATGCACAGAGTGGGTCTTGCTTTGGAGGCGGCACCTCCTGCAGGAAACACGGACACTCCGGAGACCCCGGGAGATGCTCCCCATGGATCTGGTGCACCAAAAGGTGCATGATCCATGAAGGAAAAGATCCATGAGGACCCTTTTGGTGCCCCAAGTTGGGACTGCTTGGACCCCTAGAAACCCAGAAGCCTCTCAGCAAGCGAGCGCTGCGTGAAGGCCTTGGAGAAGCAGCTGTGCCCTGCGCCGCTGCAGCCGCCCTCCTCCTCCTCCGGCTCCCCCGAGCGCTGCCGCTTCCCTGCGTGCGGACACGGCCCCCGCGGGCGCTCCCGCCTCCGCTCCGGCGCCGTTCCCACGCGGAGAGGCTAAAGGACGAGGAGCTGGAGCCCTGGGAAGGGGCAGTACCTGCAGCCAAGGCGTCTTCTCCCGTTAGGGATGAGCATCACAGCAGCAGGCGCGGGGATTCAGCCCCTCTTCCTCCCCATCTCCTGCCCCCTGGCCGGTGCCTGGGAGCTTTCTAGGTGCCCCCAGCGCAGGCTGGTACAGCTGGAGCGAGCAGCTGGAGCGGGCGCCGCTCCAGGGAGCGGAGCGGAGCTAACGGGATCGCTAATGGGAAGCAGCTGAGAGCCAGCGCGCGGCTCCAGCCCTTCCCAGGGAGCTACCGTGGAGCAGCCCAGGGAAACGCACCTGGAGCTTTCCCCCAAGTTTTGTCTTTTTAATTCCAAACATGCACGAGCTGCTGCTGAATATTGACCCCCGCTCCAGCACCCGGAGAGGACCTGGGTACCACAAAACTGGGGTCTTTCGTGCAGGTCTCGAGGCCCCCAGCACAAGCCGTCCCCTCCACTGCTCTAGGTGCTGTGCAAACCCGGAGCCCGAGACACTTCCTGCCCTTAAAACTTTGCAGCCCGAGGAACTCTCAACTCTGAGCTTCCTGCCTGCCACCATCAACCCTTTCATATGTGTTTTCCTGCAGCTTCTTGTATTTAATTACACTTGGCTATTAATACCTTTTCCAGGGCGCTCCAGGCTCACGGGGAGCATGTGCCGGTAGGGGACATGCATGCACACGTACACGCGTTAATGGCATCGAGCCCTCGGGTGCCACCCAAGGTGCAGACCCCACAGGCCCCCTGCCCACATGTGGCATCGGGGGCGCAGGAGGGTGAAGCAGGGCTGGCAGTACCGGTGGATCCCATGCAGACCCGCTCCCGGTGCCAGCCGGTGCCTCCCAGCTGCTGCAGCAGCCCCTGCCAACTCGTGACACCCAAGCCCGGTGCTGAATCCCAGCTCCCGTCCCAAGCCTGACATCCACAGCAATGGTCCCAGCAAAGGCGCGAGCCCATCAGGAGATGCAAGGGGCTCCCAGGAAAAGGCACCCCCTACAGCAGTGGGACCTGGTGGCACCCATGGGGGCGGCGCGGGGGTAACATGGTGCACAGAGCCTCCCAGCCTCAGCAGCCCGAGGGACCCTGGGGACACTTATGCATCTGCAGTCAGTGCTCAGCGGCCCCCCAGGGGGTCCCCAAGGCCTGCAGGGGGCTGGACACCCTCTGCCCACCCCAGCACTCCCAGCTCTAGTCCAAGGGTGCGCGTGGGGGACGCTACAACCTCCTCGGCAGCCCTACAGCCCCTCTAGGGTGCCCTATAGCAGCCCTCAGGCAGACCCCACAGCCTTGCCAGGTGGACCCTATAACCACCCTAGGAGGCCCTATAGAGCACCCCAGGGTGCATCCAATACCCACCCCCAAGGATAGAGCAAGAACCCCAAGGGTGGAATCTACAGCCCCATCAGGTGGGACCTATAGACCCTTTCAAGTGGGACTTACAGACCCCCCAGGCTGGGCCCTATAGCGGCCACCAGGTGGGTCCCGCAGCCCCCAGGGGCTCCGCACACGCGGCGCGAGGGCTCGCGGGCGGGATGCAGCGGCCGCCAAGGGGGGCTCCGAGCATCCCACCCCCCCGCACTGGCCGTACCTTGGTCTTCACCCGCGCCGTCTCCCAGGCGGGTCTGAGCTCCCGCATGAGCCGCAGCGCCCCGGGCAACACGTCGCCCTCGTCCACCGCAATGCCGAGGTGGGGCACGGCCGGGGCCCCCCCGCCGCCGCCGCCCCCGGCCCGCGGCG